TAGTAATGTCTCTTTAAAAGATGTTAGAACCACCTATTAACCTGTCCTTTGCTTTATGTACCAAGGAAGATTTGGTCTCTTTTTATTTGATTTTAATGTACTTGTTAATGAGATTTTTCACCTAACACCATTAAGTTTCATTGAAAATGTCATTTCAAGTTACATTTCACTTAATTTTTAATTTTACCAAACCTACCTGTTCATGAGACTCATACTTTTATAGATTGTGAAGGTCAGAAAAAAAGATTAGTGTCACTTGTACAGAATGAAAAAAATATAAAAATATCAATAAAAGCCAGATAAGAAAAATCTAATAGACTTCTGTTGTGGACCAGATTTCTGTATTATTTCTACTGTTTGGTACATTTGGTGATGTAGAACTACTGCTCAAGCCACTGAAGGGGTTTGTTGTCTGAGAGTAATGTTAGGTGGCTGTATATAAAGCTGCTAGGTTGTCATATACAAAGATTGTTGTGTCTGACACTGAACTTCCACATCTAGTTGTGCGAGGGTCTGAAACTCCCTAGCAGAACGAGAGTTTCAGTCTTTAGCAGAACAAGAAGTGGAATTTCATTCATTGTGTTTAAATATGATAGTTTTTATCATGACAGAAAACCAGATGGCTTTGAGGGTTGTTTGATTCTACTAGCTGCGATTTGAACTCGAAATTATATATTTACCACAAATTCTCCATTAGGTTGCAGAAGCTATTCTGCGAGGGACAGCATCTTCATCCAAACAAGAAGAAAGATCATGGAGAGATAATCACAAGAGCCACAGCCTCTCTTTTGTGGGGCCAAAGACATCTCTGCAAAAGCACTGCATTAGAGATGTGGACAGCAAAGTACGCATTCCTATTGCCAGTTATCACGTTTCCACAGTTTCAAATATTTATTTAAGAAAAAGTTCTTTGGAATCAAAATTTGTGCAAATGAAAGCGTATAAGCATGGTCGTGTTTTCTTGCAGTGGGTTTGTGCTGTCATTCAGCATAACTTAGCTTGTAGTTCTTCTTCAAGTTTTGCAGTAATAGGAGACAAAACTTGTTGCCTTTGTCTAGACCTAACTGAATTGCCTGCTGCTTTCAGGTATGCTCTAAATTCATTGTACCTGCTACTTCAGAGATTGGTTTTACAGAGAACTGCCATACTTTGCCTCCACAGACCGTAAATCCAGCATTCTGCCATTTGAGGTGCTACCTGTCAATGAACACTAGTGGCCTCCTGCCTGATAGAGTCAGTGGGAAAATCACTGAGCTTTCTACAAGCTGTGAACAACTTAACTCCATATGTCAAATGAGATGCTTGTTTATCACTGGTATCTCTGTGACTGCTCCTCCACAGCCAGCTTAATATGTTTCTTACACATCTCACTGTTTAGAATATATAGATACCTAAATATCTCGGTGTGCTTTTCTTTCTCTTGGCTTCATATTTCTTGCTTCTTATTATGAGCATCTTGATTATTACAAGTCCCCTTTCTTACTTTTGCTGACATTTAGCTGAAATCTGTACTTTGTTCAAGTGAACAGTCTCTCTGAAATTCCGACTACCTACTGGAATTCCATTGGCTAAAGCAAAATTTAGCTCAGAGTAGCCAAAACACTGCCCTGTCTGCCTGCCTGTTTAGGGTCAGAAATCAAACGTAAAACATCTCTGATGAGAGAGGAGGCAACTATACCATGCTAGTGATCATGACTCTGTGTGTCTTGAAAGGCACTGGACTGTGGCTTTAGTGAATTCTGCATGCCAGACATGAAAAGAGATAATGATAAGAACAATTATAAGTGGAACATGCTTAAATAGGGAATTAGTCATATGTGAAATAACAGCTTCCAAGAGGACGCAGATATTATGTGCCTACCTTCAAGACTGGCTATATTTCTAAGCAATATATGTTGTTTATAACTCATAAGGTTTATAAGGTTTAGCTGCAGGAAATCTTTATTTGTTCCATACTGATGTTGGATCTCCCCAGTCCCTTCTACAGCTGGGATGTCTCCATTCCTCTGTGCTGTGGTGGACAGAATTACTAGCCAGACAAATAATGTGCAATATACTATCTGCAGTTAAAGTGGCTAATGAAGTCAAAAAGCTATCTTTTGTAGCTTACCCTGGAAATTTTCAAGGTATGAAACAGTTTGTTTCATCTGAATTCTTCAAGCTCTCTTCTGAAATGCATTAAAACCAGAAAAATTTATTCTACACAGAGACTCCGTAAGACCCATTGAGCTTATTATCTTCCTGTGGCACACAGCCATACGCAAAAAAAATTGTGGCTTCAGCAACAGTTCTGAGGAGGGGGAGGTTGAGGACAGCAGACTTTTGGGCTCACTGTTATTTGAGCTTTCACCATCCAGCCAGCATTGGATCCAATCCAACTGGAATCCAACACAAGCGTGAGCTAGACTGGTGGGCATAGTGCCCAGATGTCCTGAGTGAACTCTGAAATGTTTGACAGTGACACATGTTTTTATCTGATCTGATGGCAGAAGAAGGCCTTGCAGTGAATAGAGTGGCTGCCAATGATATGAATCTAGAATTGAAGGCTCAGGTAAACGGAACATTAAACAGAAGCCCATAATCTGTGTCACGGTGATAGATCTGAATATGGTGACTCATTTGTGTTTCCTTTGTATTTGAGCTCTTTCGCTAGCAGGTGGATGCTTTCCCTCAAAGATTCTGTGAATCTGGAGAATTCCGAGTTTTGTGTATAGATGAAACAAACTCTTATGCTGTTTCTGTCCAGAATTGAGAAACTGTGCATGGTAACGCATAAAAGTGAATGGGTACACATCAAAGTGAATGGCATAACCTCAAAAATTCACAGAGTGGTAGGAGCTGGAAGGGACCTCTAGAAATCATTTAATCCAAACCCTTTGCCAGGGCAGGATCACCTAGAGTAGATCTCGAGCAACAGAAGCAAAGATGCATGCCACAGGGATATAGAATCATAGCATCATAGTGGTTTTAGGTTGGAAAAGACCTTTAAGATCAAGTCCAACAATTAACACAGCACTGCCAAGTCCACCATTAACCCATGTCCCTAAGCACCACATCTACGCATCTCTTAAATACCTCCAGGGATGGTGACTCCACCACCTCCCTGGGCAGCCTGTTCCATTGCCTGACACCCCTTTTGGTGAAGAATTTTTTCCCAGTATCCAATCTTAACCTCCCCTGGTGCAACTTGATGCCATTTCTTCTTGTCCTATCACTTGTCACTTGGGAGAAGAAACCAACACCCACCTCCCTATAACCTCCTTTCAGGCAGTTGTAGAGAGCTATAAGGTCTCTCCTGAACTTCCTCTTCTCCAGGCTAAACACCCCCAGCTCCCTCAGCCGCTCCTCACAGGACTTGTGCTCTAGAACATGTATATGCTGGTAGACCATAAATTTACCTTAAACCTAGCTACAGCTGATGAGTTTCACGAGCTGTAATCAAGAAGGCAAAACAACACAACATCTGACTTATTTCTGTCAGATAGTAAGAGATATGTACAATAAGAATTAGGAGCAAGTCTGAAGAATGATCAATAGATGTTAAAGACACAGATTTTTGGAATATGTGATTTTATGAAAAAAAACCCCACATCTGAGAGATATTCTACATCTTTTCAGGAAAAAGGGCATATTCTGGTTGTCTATAACACTTTTAATGATGCTTATTCTTTGTAGTGTAGCATGACCTGGTTGGTGAGGAATTGGCCACTTCAAGCTGCGCTTTAGTGAGACAAAATAAATGTCCATTGAACCGCGTATCATTTGTGATCATTTTTCAGAATATGCTTGAATAATGTACAGATTAGCCAAAATGGTTAATATTTATTAATAAGTATTCTCTCCAAACGAGCTGATTTTTGAACACATCACATTACGCATTTAGCAGGAACAAGTTGCCAGTTTCCTGCCAGACGTGCAACTATGGATAGATGTTAGAAATTTCTATAAGAAAAGACACATTCACTTGCACTGGGTGTGACATTACAATTTAATGGATGTAAATGTATACCTTTCAGTACAACTCATAGAGTCACAGAGTGGTAAGGGTTGGAGCAGAGTCACAGCGTGGTAAGGGTTGGAAGGGACCTCTAGAGATCATCTAGAACTCCTGAAAGGTATACTGATAACAACTCCTAATGTTTTTGTTGGAAAAGTTTCATCCACAGTCAAATGTGCTTACTTCCAATCTTATTCAAAGGATTTTGCTGTCTAATCTTGCAAGGGATTTTGATGACCTTTGAGCATGTTGTTTCCTTGTCTATGTTCTTCCTGACCACTCGCTAACTCTGAAGATGAGAGCTATGGTTCTGGGAATATTTAGGTAGACTTTTGCAGCAATTGAATTTTCATTGCTTTATCCATGAGTATTCTTTGCTTTTTGATTTGCTAGTGGGAACACAAACTCTATATGACACAATCTGTGATATTTGAAGGTTACAAGAGATGCTTACTTATGAGATTTGTCAAACGAGAGTTTTCCAGGACAATTTGACTTGTATCAGAATCATAAAGAACTGGAGGTATTAACACCTGGGAGGAAAAGCCTCATTAGAAAAGTTAAAGGATTACTGTTGAGCATGATGATCAAGGAGAACATCATGTTTTTAAAGTTTCTCTGATCTAGGTGAGCCCTAGTGACAACACCTGCTCCTGCTCTCCACTGCCTGTGTCATAGCATAGGACTGGAGGAACCTTGAGAGGCCACCTAGTCCCTCCTTTTGCCAAGAGCAGTATCAGTGTCACTGATGGTTATTTAACCTGTGCTTCACTAGCTCCCATGAGAAAGACTCAAAAGGACCTGGCTTATTCTGCTGCCTACTTGTTCTTTTGGTTATGAATTGTTGCTTCATAACTAAAATCCATCTCTTTTGTTGTCACCAGCTAATCAGCTGATTAATTTTTACCGTGTTTTCAGGGGAGATGGGAAACAATTGATCTACCTTGTGCATGCTGGGAGGCCATTCTTCCTCTGACTCTGCAACACCTTTGTATAAAGGGTCTGCATTTATTGGCAATCCACGTTTCCAATGAAGAAAAATAAAAAGGTTTATTGACATAATTTGATGACTTTGTTTATGAAAGTGGTGGAATTGAGAGAATCTTTATCAAGAATCTGTGTGATTAACCCAAATACTGAGTACTTGAGTCTCTTAAAAAGTATAGAGCTAAGTTGCAGTTTTTGCCTGGGTTACAGTGATTGCCATGATCTATGGAACAATCTCTTAGAATGACATCCATCTGGATGAAAACAGAGACCACACGTACTTCACAAAGCCTGTCTTGATTCCTCTGACATTATTGCTTTAAAAATAGGTATGCTAGTGTATAATTTTAAAATATTTAATCTATGTGATGCATAAAAAATGAAATCAGCAGCTTTTACAATGGCGTATGTTGCACACTGAACTACCTTTACTTCTGCATGGAGGCTCCCTCAACCAAATTCTTTAGACACATCGTGAACAAAACTCACCATGTTCATGGAAACACCTCTTTTTAATCTCTGGTTTCATCTTGCTCCCTCACTTTTGCAGTCCAATACATCCTACTTCATGAGCTTGTTAGCTCTTTAATTTAAAAAAAAATGACCATGTGGACCTTCTCATCATTTTTTTAAGGCCTCTACAGGTTTCTCTTAGCTACAGCATCACCCATTGCATTGCATCAGTAAATGTTGACTTCAGAACATCCTTTTCAAAGGGAGCTTTTACATAGCTTATGAGTCTTCCTTTTCTACACTAAGCTTTCTAGGCAGCTCTGTGTTAAAACTCTTGCCATAAACTATTTTCCTTTTACAAGTCTTATGTAGGTAGTTTTGTAAAAGCTTGAATTGCAACATTTTTCCTATAACACCACAGCAAAAAAAAATGTTGCCACATGTTAGTGTCTGGCTGAAGCTGATGAGTATCTGAGCTGCTGTGGCCCTCTTGGCACTTTCTGATGATGGTGAGCTAGCTGGCTCAAAACTAACATGCAGAAAAAAGCGGTTCATTTTTTGCCTGATTCTACTTCCTCAGCCAGGTCAATCCTCCTCTGTGTTGTTGGTGCCACGTAAAGGAGGGGATGGAAAAATGAGGAAGAGGAGGGGCGCTCCAGCAATCTGTGCTGAGATTGGCTTGAGCTGCTATGAAACTGCACCAATGGCTTTCCAAGTTGTCTTAAATCACTTGGTAATTTCAGTCTTGAGATCTTTAGTGATAAAATGATGTCTTAGAATCTCTTCACTTATATCAGTCTGCAATTTGAGACAATATATCTTCATCAAAAGTAGTTTTAAATGTCTTTAGTACTACAGTACTTGTCTCAGGCTGAAATCCCAGGCATATTTTGACAGTTTGCCTACTCACTTGTATTTGAAATCATGATTATATTTGGAGGACTCAAGCATATTCACAGGACCTTCCGGCAAAAACATCTCCAAATTTAAAATAGAAATCATATTCCTTTAAAAATTAATTCTCTTAATTTCTGCACTTCTTAGCATCCTTGTCTGAAAGAGCTAATCAGTTACCTATCTTCTGCTCAGAACCATTTTATGCTTGTAGGAAAAGATTCAGCCTTTTAAAATTATGCAATTTTCTGGTGTTGCTATAGGATTTCTTTTCAGTTCCCTTTGTCTAAGCACATCCATTAAATTGTAATGTCATTTACTAATCTAAATAAGAGATCACTATCCTCAACAACAGATTCCCTAAATTTCATTGATGAAATGGAGAAAATTTGACAGCTGTCAAAAAATGGCCAGTGACTGCCGTCGGAGAATGACATGTGCAGTCTTCCCATGTCCCTTGAGCAATCTCTCATGGACTTGGGCAAATGAAACTGATAGGAAATATATTCTTTCCACAGACTGCTTATGCTCAGCTTCCCAAGCCGCCACTCTCCAGTGTACAAAGCATTTCAAAATTAGAGCACCTGGTTCTATTTCCATGGGTTTTTTGAATGTTGTTTTTTTGTTTATGACCACCATATGCTCACTCGTAGTCATTCACTGGCTCAATGCATTAGAGATTCTTCTGTTATCAGTTCTGACAGACATAGATATCTTCCCTTGCCATTTCTGGGATGATTTCAGCAATGTGGGCAGTGAGAATATGCCTTTATCTCATACTGTCAGGCATGTCTAGTTAGGTTCAGTACCTTCAAAGTTTTGACTAGGCAAGTGTGCAGCCTCAGTCATACCAACCTGATGTTTTCTTTATAGCTATCAGCCCCTGGCAGTCACTGTGTAAACTCCATGTTATCTCATGGTGGTCATGCAGGAATATTGTACGTTTCCTCTGTGCTCTGATCTAAGGTCTCCAAGAAAAATTTGGGAAATCCTTTTGACTAATTGTGACCTTTCCATCCAAGTATCTGCTACAGTTTGTTTGTAACTGTTCACATCTCATTTCCCTTCTGGGCCTCACATCTGTCTTAAGGTCTTACAAGGCTTGTGTTAGCCTTGATGGAGAGATATGAAGGCAAAATGTAAAAACAGTGGACATCTGGCAAGTAAAAATTAATTGTCACGCAATATATTTTACTGATGTCAGCTCAGTTGTGGTATCTCAGAAAGTAGTATCTTTCCTGCTGTTGGCAGGGTGGCTGGAACTGAGGGATGAGAGCCTGAGGGCAGCTGTTGGCCTCACACTGTGCCCTGGGTTACCCTTGACCTATATCTTTGTCCAAGTAGAGAGAAATATGGAAAGTAAAATAAGACCCCAAATAGATAACTATGTATCAAATATGTGTGTAAGTCTTTGTGTGTATGCCCACATACACACATAAACCTTTTCCTAAAAAGTTTTAAACACTTAATGATGCACCTGTTATAGAAGGATTTTTAATGCTATTTGGAGATGTTATATCAACTAAATAGAAATGTATTAAAACTTTTTAGGCAACAAAAAGCTCTGTGCAAAGGGCTGATCCTTTCAGATTGGTGACAAAGGAACATCAAGAAAAGAAACCACTGAACTTCTCCCTTGGCAGAAGCACAACACCAACTGGCAGGAGGACACCTCACCAAGGAAGACTGACACCTCTTGAACCAGAAAAAGTATGTCAGTAGCAATGTCTATTTAGACTGCTTTTATTTTCTTTTTACAGAACTATTCAGAAGCTGGACTGGGATCCTGATCTTCACATAGCTGCTGCTTGGTCTTCTCACCCTGTTTTCTTTTCCAGAAATTATCTTAAGAGACTCTTCATACATTGAGCTTCTTGGGCACCTGCAGACCAGAACATGGCTGAATGCTTTGAAACCTGCCCTCCTTGCCCCTAGAAAAAGTTCAGAGGTGACCACACAGACTGAGCATTGGGTCATTGCATGGGCCAGCGGCTCCCTGGGGCCATGGGCTGGGAGCATCAGGGGCTCCCCATGGAGTCTGGGAGTGCAGGGCCTATCCCATAGCCCCTGCCAGGGAGGAGGGCAGGCTGGGGATGGAAGTCAGGGTCAAGCCAGAACCCCAGTCATCGAAGACCATAATGATGAGACAGGGCTGGGGTCACAACAGGAAGTCAGCCCATGGGTTAGGGTTGGGATTTAGATCAATGAGGTGCATGGGCAGGCACAGGCATGACTGCAGTGTAACCCAACAGGGACCAAGAGCCGCTGAAATGCAGCTCCCAAGAGAAAGGATGGGGTGGGGTTGGGGGTGGCCCTGCCTGAGGCTTTTTCCAGCTCTTCCACTCACATCTCTTTCTCCACAACAGTGTGAAACTAGGTTAGACACCTGTACCATCTCAGCGCGCAGGAAGGAAGTGGAAGCACACTCTGGCCATGTCACTGATAGCTCCCATGTTATAGAGAAACATGACTGTATATCAGGCCCTCTCCATTCTGCTTCAGGTTGTACATCAACCCTCTCCTACTGGGAGAAGAACAGACAATAGGAAATCACCTGGACCTGTCTCGCATCTGAGTGGTGGTTTTAAGGAGCCTAACTCAGCTTCCTACGTAAAGGGTAAGATTTGTGGGAACTTTCTGCCTGCTTAGAGTAGTTTGCAAATGACTTGGAAACACTGGTCCCCAGGTCTTCGCTCACAGGCAATATGTTGTCACCAGAACTGTCCTATGATTCCCAGAAGAATTATGAAATTTGTATTTTATAAGTGAGAGAGAAGAGGTTGTGCTATTACCTGCTTACTCACTGAGTTTGTTGTCCTGGAAGCCCAGAAGATGGGAGAATGGTTGTGGTCTGTACTTCACTTTGGTCCAGGACAAAGCACATTTGGAAGGATGCACAAGCTGTTAGCAAACATTATCAGTATAAGAAGCAATGTGTTGCAAGAATCTGAGCACTAGCTTTTTTTATAAACCTCCTGAGATAGGCATGGAAACATGTGAGTCAACAATTTTCATATGCTTTCATTGACTCCTTTTACTATGTTTTTTTCTTATAGGCAGGTCTTTGCCCATTTCAGACAGCTCAGAAGACATGCCCCTCTCACATAACCACGGTAACGATGGTTGCAGCTTTGCACTCCACAGTAACCACGAAAAAACAGAGGTATTTCACCATGTAACTCTATAAAATAATACAGCGAGTCTGTGATCTTAGTTTTTATATACAGCATACTAACTTGGATTCAGCTGGGAACAATACTCTCCTGGCTTTATTTTTTTGTCTTTACTCATGGTAAGTACACTCTCTAAAACAACATTGCAATGGCTTTCAAATAATATAGTAGATTTCTTTATTGAGATATTCCTGCACAACTGTTGGAAATTACTAGATTTATGTTGCTAGTTAACATTTTAATTTTGGCTCAGGAAGAAGAGGATCTTAATCTTAAAAAGAAAGAAAAATTGTTACAACTTCAGAATAAAGTGGCTTTTGTGACCACAAAAAGTGGCATAACTGCATATGACAACAAAGTATCTACAAACAGTTCTCCTGCTTTTCTGGATGCTGAAGCAAAGGTTTGAGCAACTTATCATTCTGCCTCTTATATTATCAACTGTCTGTCTTGCATTTGTGAAACGAAATAAAAAACACCAAGAAAAAGAAAAACTTCCATTCCCATTTCCTATGCTACACGGTGGACATGGAGCTTTAGGGATGGACCTGGCAACTTCAAGCACTGTGTTTACAGCTCTTTACTGCAGGATATCATTGCCCTGTGGGGAGAAGTATTCCCTGTTCCTTTGGATCCCACAATTCAAAATACACCACATCTTCAAACAGTAATTAACATCAGTTAGTGACTGTTCTGGATGCTGTGTGCCAGATGTCAATTAATTTAATGCTCCCTTATGCTGCCAGACAGTGCAAAGAGGACTCATTGTAACGGTAAATTAGATGTTGAACATCCTGAATAGCCCGTAGTTACATAGTTAGCATTACCTACAGCTAAGAACCATGCAATTTGTTTTGGAAGAGTGGAACTACCTAATACAGGTACCTTTCTTTGCAAATCAGTAGCCTGATATTCAGAGATAGTTCTGTTCTTTGTTCTTGTGCCTATCTTCTCCATTTCCAATAGTGTAGCTTTGCCAGGATGCACTCGTCACCTCATTTTTGGACTTTCTCTATGCTGCCTTTTGCTTTGCAAACTGAAGTTAACTGGAGTTAATGTGCAACAATTCTAATTATGACTAAAAGATCCAAACTCATTACAAATGCAGGGTAATACCAATAAGAAGGGCAGCTTTCCTCTGTGTGTTTGAAAGTAAATACAGGTTTTGCACGGTTGAGTAAAACTAATTAAAATATTTTAAAAACATTTCTGTTTCTATAACACTAATTGTGATGTTTTCATAATGCAGCCTCCAAAATCAATATTATCTAGAAGGTCAACGTTACATCAAGAAAGAAGAAAAAGCGAGGAAGAGGTGCAGGAAAAAATAGAGTATCGTGATGGAAAGGTAAGATAAAATATGTTGCAAAAATACTTGAAGAGCTTGCCAATAGAACTGTAGTATAGATGAGAATCACTGCTTCAAGTATCCATAGACAGTTATGTCTCCAATTAAATGTCTGTTCCCTAGAGGAGAGCTGAAGTGTAAAGATCACATCATAACTGGTAGGAAATATGTATAGCTGATGGGCTGGAAATCAAGTAACCAAATTATTTGCTTACCTCCCACACAGGTTTGCTCTGTGACTTTCACCAAGTCCTTTTGTTTCTCAGCTACCTCATTTGTGAGCTGGAGGAATTATATACTTACCATTAGAAATGGAAGTGTGCTAGTGGTGGGGTTTCACAGCACAAGATTAAAGGCCCTCCTTTTCTTGGAAACGAATCTCATGGCAGTTAGCTGCACCAGCTGGACCCCATTTGTGGGAGAAATCTTTCATTACACACAGCTGGCTACGCCTGGAGTAGCATCAGTGGAGTTGGGATCAATGCAGCCTGCCCAGTTTGCTCAAGTCACCTGTCAAAATCCCCAGCGATTCCTCAGCTGCATCTAGAGACTGTTTCCAGCTGCCCCTGGTCCTGAGACCCCCTCCGCAGCTGGTTTCATCCTTTTCCTGGAAGTACCTGTCCAATGAGCAGGTGATTTCTGCTGACTTCCTATTGTGTCCCTACAGTCCTTGCCATAAAAATGGGTAATTAGTTCCTGAGCGGCCATGTCATCTTTCCTGCGGAACACCTCAGGAAAGATCTTGAAAGGCTGATTCTGTAAATGAGCCTATGCATTGGAGATCTGGTTGTTGGAAAAGGTTGGCAGCAAGGTGAACAAGTGAGCTGGTGCTGGTTTCACTGCTGATAGACGAGCACTTTCCAACGCTGTCGCTGCACATCTAGGCCAGATCTTAATTCAGCCCTTGATATCTCAATTACACTGCTCCAAGCAGACTTACCCTGTTAAAACTTTCCCTTATTATTGATTGAGTTGTCAGTTCTGGATAAGTTTTATGGGTAGATTAAGTGAAGACAGTAACTCAGTTTCTGTGTCTGTTCAGTTCTCAGCTTCTCTTATCACCTTGCCAATACAGGTGTTGATTATTGAAACCGTGAGCAGTCACAGAAATGGCTTTTGCAATATACCAGTTGCTCAGGGAATGCTGGTTTGAGATGCCAATTCTTTTGTAGCTTATGCTGAGATGAGCTCTGCCAAAACTTCTACCAGTCACAATGCACTCTTGTAGAAGTAGCAAATACAATATCTGGTTTTGATCCTCAAAAGAAAAATAACTGAAGAAAGTTCACTCTGACCACTGGATTTCATTCATAAAATCGAGTGGTGTGCTGGACTTCCTTGTGCAACTAGAGAGGTCAAAATCGGGAATGGTGCCTTCAGAAAGGGATATTAACTCTCACTTAAACTATGTAGACTTCTTGTAGCAATGCCTTTTCTCATAAGAAGGTGTAAGGACATCATTCTATTACCAGTTAGAAATGTCTAAATACAATAATTTCTAAAAACTAAAATCTTGCCCTCAGTTATCATTACAATGCCTGTTTGGGGAAATACTGCATTGCTCTTCCCCCAAGTGTATTTATTTACCCCCCCACCCCTTTGTTCCCCGAAAATAGTACTGATACGGTATTTTTTTCAGTTGTTGCTAAGGAGTATTTGCACTAATTCAGGGTCTTTTTCATCTTTTGATACTGCACCAGTGTTCCCAACTTTCTCATTACAAGCAGTGGGGGGGACACACACAGTTCAGACAGCTGCCCAAACTAACTGAAGGAGTATTTAATTCCATAGCATGTCATACTCAGTACATAAGCGCGGAGTGGGCCAGGGGGCCATAGCTCCTTTGCTTGCTCGCTTGTTAGCTCGCTTGTTTGTTAGCTTGCTAGCTTGCTCTTTCATTAGTGAGTTGGTGGGATGCTTGGTTTTCCTGGTTGTGCTCCCACCTGTGGGGGTCACTCAGACTCTGCTGCCATCCTCTTGTTTGTTAGCTGGCTAGCTTGGTTGTTCATTAGTGAGTTGGTGAGTCAGTTGGCTTTCTTGGTTATGCCACTGCTTGTGGGGTTTGCTCAGCCTCTGCTGTGATTTCTCCCTGGGCTCTCTGGCTCTGACTCTCGCTATTCAGGACCTGGCTGTGTATTAGCTGGTGAGTGGTGAGCAATTGTATAATATTTTTATTTTCTATTATTTTAATTACTTATCATTAGTAGTATTGTTAATATTATTAGCATCACTACAGTATTCATCTATAGTCAGTTATTAAATTGTTCTTATCTCAATTCATGAGCTTCCTTCTCTTTTCCTCTGATTCTCCTCCTCCACTGGAGCTAGCAGCTACATTGTACTTTATTGCTAGCCGAGGTTAAACCACAACAGCCTTACCTTGCTTAACAGAAAAACAAGGTGGTGGGGTGGGAACTTGGGCTGAGTGCTAGAAGTAAGTTAATTTTGTTAAAAGAAAATTACTTTTTGTCTGTTTTTCACACAAATGAGGCAAAAACAATTCATCTGTGCTGCAGAGATAGCTTTTGAAATACAAAGGCATAGCGCGACTGATTTCAAGTTCCAGCTGAATTGGAAGGCAGTGCAAGGTTACTGATTTCCTTTGACTTCATTTACATTAGATCCTCTATGTGTTTGAAGGTAGAAGCACTGCTTACTGATGGACGTCGAATCATCACTTTCCGCAATGGTACTAAAAAAGAGATCAGTGCTGATAAAAGTATGACAACGATTAGCTTTTTCAATGGAGATGTAAAGAAGATCATGCCAGATCAGAGAGTGGTGTGTAACATTTTTTTTTTTTTTGCTTTAATGAAAATAAAATGATTAAGTGATTTTTCCAACAAGGTCCTATCATTTTTCTTGATCTATCAGTTCTGAGAGAAGTTGATGAGGAAGGGTTTTGGTTTAATAATGCTGTGTGGTGAAACAGCTTCATCTACAAGGACAAAAGTGGAAAGAGATGAAAGTAGCAGTCAAAGAAGGAAAAAATGGGTAGTTGGTTAAGCAGATTAAAGGAGGCTGAAAGAAGGCAAAAGGGCAGGGGCAGCCATCTGAAGCAAGGACCAGTTTTTATACATTTGTAGGGTAGGTAGCACAGGGGGGTCTACCCTCTTGGCATTATGTAAATACAAATAGTTAATAATAATGTGAGCTAGAGTGGTAAGAAGTGAGGCCTTGGCAGCAGTGCGACTACTTTAAATGAGTAGTGCATGGATGGGAGCCAAAGCAAAGAGGTGGGAAGATGACTTTCATGAGTGCAGTCTTCCATTGTATGCTACAGAGATGAAAGTAGCATCATCTAGACACAGCCATGAGGAGGGGGATGAATGAAAGGAAGGAACAGCAGTGTGAACATAGCTACTTTTATGGGTGGCATATACAGAAAATGACCTCAAAATGACTTTTTTAAGATGGCTTATTTTTAAGTGCATTGTTATGGTTGAATCTGCTTATGCAAATATTGTGAACATGCTGCAAACACTTCAATCTCCTTTCAGATTTATTATTATGCAGATGCACAGACAACCCACACTGCTTATCCAGATGGCCTGGAGGTGCTGCAGTTCCCTAATAATCAGATAGGTATTCAAGAGCTCATAAATGTGAACTATATGTATGGAAGGTTTCTATTAGGAAAGTGTTGTCTGATTCTAACAGCAGCAAATTGGGTATTTCCCCCTCATTTTGCAGACGTTGCATTTTACTTCCAATATGTTCCATTACTTTACTGCTCAGTTTCGTCCTACAAAGCAAAGATAATGATGGGATGTAAATTCATCTCTTCTAATTTTGATTATCTGATTATTCGATCCTTTAATTTATTTAGCAGTATGCTGGATATCATTTTCATCCTCACTACAATGTCCCCAAAAGATCTGATCTAACTCTGTGTAAAGCAACATGAAAGAATAATGCATAGACTGTTAACATCTTCTTTTCCACAGAAAAACATTATCCTGATGGCACACAAGAAATTGTGTTCCCAGATCACACAGTGAAATGCCTCTATAGCGACGGATTCAAGGAAACTTTTTTCCCAGATGGTACAGTAGTAAAAGTAGAAAAGTAAGTCTTGTGTTAACATCAGGATCCAGGCATTGGATGGACATCTAAAACTGTGGTTGGATTCTGCATGGCTGGGAAATTTCCAGATGAAAGGAGAAAGGATTTGTAAGATAACAAGGGGATTGCTACAATGAGGCACTGAAAATTATTCACTTCCACCTTGGATAACAGGGGATCGTTTATCACTAGCAAAGTGACTGAAATATTCCTCATTCAGTTCCATGTAACTTTATACGGGACAGAGTTGCTGGGAGATCACCACTTGTCTGTGTTAACAATGTGGATGCTAAAGGCCTCTGGGTGAGGACTCCTGAGCATTATTTCTAGCTTTTTGACTTCATTTCTGCTCTTGGGCAAGGCGTTTCACATATTATCTCCCTATTCCTCCAAATAAAATGAGGAAAAACAACAATAGGACATTCTTACACATGCCTCTTCTGGGCTTAGGGAGGATCCTGTCATAAAAGAGATTTCCTGCTTGCAAAATGCCTTCAGATCCCTGCATGAAGAAGTGATGTAAAATGCAGATCTCACCATCCACTAGGTATTATACTATGTACTGAAGTACCTTTGTACTGAAATCTTACTGTGAGATCAGATCTCTAACGCCATCCCATGTAAATTCCGAGGTGAATTATAACCTATCTAAGAAAATTTCTACTTGACATTATTTCTGCTGGCATTGTGTCACATGAGGCAGCTCAGTGAGACAGGTTAGTAACAGTCAGTGCCTTCTCATCACTTCATTCATTGCTCTTTCTTTCAGGAATGGAGATAAAGTAGTGGTATTCAGTAACGGCCAAAAGGAGATTCACACTGTGCAGTTCAAGCGGCGGGAGTACCCAGATGGCACTGTGAGAACTGTGTACTGCAACGGCAGACAGGAAACCAAGTACTCCACCGGACGAGTCCGAATCAAAGATGAGGAGGGTAATATCATCCTAGATAAGAAATGATTCCTCCCCTCAAAGGGCTGCCGTGTACGTAAGTAGCTCAACCCATTTTTTTGGCAGAACTGTTCAGAAGACTTAAGCCTTGTGAAAATGAATGGATGACCTGTAAGGCTGAAATTTACTTTGGCTCGGTAACTGGTGCTTAATTTGGATTAACCATACCTGAATGAAATGTCTCTTGAGTGAGACTTGCAGGAGATGCAGTCATGCCCTCTTTGTGTACATAACAGTAAAATAAATGCCCATAGTACTTCTCATCAGTGTTTGTTTCATGATACTGATCACACTTTCCCTTGACTTTCTGCTAGTTAGTTATAAAACTGACTACAATTAAGGAACATAGCATAAAAACTCAAATCTACAAAGCTTTTTGAATTTTAGTTCAGCGCTACCTTATGCTGATGAAAACAAATCCATGTTTTTTCCTTCCTCAGTTAACCAGCACAAAAAATGTGGAAGTGATTAATGTTTTCAGTTTGGTTGGGCTCTTTGGAGCAGGAGAACCCAGCACGTATCAGGCCTTATTGTGAGCTGTACATTAGACCAAAACCCGAGCAGGAGTTGAGTGAACAGTCACAGCTCTGGATGTCCCTTGCAACCTAAATTATTCAGTAATTATGTATCATAATCTAAGGACTCTGTCTCCTCCATCTGAAGAAAAAATGTAATGTTTATTCCATCTTGGTCATTATTCTGGATGAAACAACCCTTTCTTCTTCCTCCAGCAGCCTATTCCCACACCTACTCTGTGTTGCTTTGTTTTTGAATTAACCTCTCCCACTACTGCCTTTATTCTTCTAGTAGTGCAAAAATATTTCTGGCCAGTGAATCTCTCCAGCTTTAAGTCTCTTTGCACAGCACTTGATACCTAGGGGGATTAATCATTTATCAGATGCTGCTTTCAACCGCCTTCCCCATAGACTGCCTGTCCATCATCTGTCTTGAATTTTCCAAAGCACCGAAGCATTTCCCCTGTAGAGCTCAGCTCATTACCTGCCCATTGACTGAAAAGACCAATTATCTCCTTATGCCCTTCAAATTCCTGTAGCAACAAACAATACTTTCGTAGCATGCTGCTTTAGCCTTTTCTCACACCTAATTGCAAAATAACTGCAAGGTCATGGAATCACTCTTTCTTCTCTTCAGTTTCCAGTGGGCCAGACTATCGACAAATCACCATTCAAATTACAGAGCATCTTCAGAAGAAATAGATTGAATAGAGCAAGAAGTGTTGCTGATACTGGTCATACACGTGCTTCCGTTTATGAATTTATTTATGATGCTGTGAACATACATGTAGTTTGATGTCGACTGGTGTGATAATAAAATTACACTGTTTTTCCTTTACTCCTGTATAACAAAGGAAAAAATTTATAAACCTGTGCTTTTCACAACTGAAATATTTAATATATTTTATGTTTTATAAAAGGAACTTCTAATTTAAAAGCATCCAAGATATCATTCTTTTCCATGTGTTTCACTAAGAATTTCGGTCCAGTGCTTCCTGATGCTTACTAAAACACATCTATGTTGACTTTTTTTCTCTATTAAGCATCATGAAAAAAAGTGAATGTAATTCATGTTTTCAGTTTGTGTGGGAAACTAGATGTGATACTAATGTTTTCTGGACTACCACTGTTTTTATTCCCAGAAATTCCTGTGAACAAAAGCCCTCTGTTCTCCAGTTAATATGCTGATATTCTCTTGTTTCTATAGTAATACAGAAAGCAGGCTTTGTTTGCCACTTTTAGCCTTAAATTGCCACTTGCCATTCAATAACCTGTGTATATAATCCCTTCTAATTTTAAATTAAATAAGGAACAATTGTGTTTGTATGTTGCCCCGTCCTTGCTTCATTAAGCACTGTTGACTCTCACAGAAAGCATTTTGAATATGGAATAATTTGGACTATGGTCCTGCACAGGTGTAACACAAAGGGGATGTGTGCAAGTCAGCATCTGCCTGCTCTGAAAGTCTCTGCTCTCTAAAACAACACGTGCAGCCATGCATGTGTGCAAACACCTTGCTGACGTATGCATTCATCTGGCTGATGCACGCATTCACCTGGTTTACACCTGCTTACACGGAGGTTGTAATGGGACATAAATTTGGTCATGTTGCTGCTTTCTGGCAAACCATCGACAAAGCTTCCACTGGTGAAATCAAAAGGTGAGACGACCGAGGATTTCACAGTACTTTTGCCAACCCACATCTGGCCGTTGTTTTTACCAAGACCTGTTTTTCAGATGATGTTTTCTAGTATAATAGCAAAGGGATTATTGAAATAAGGGGCAAAAATCTGGTTTGAAAAGGTGGAGACAGAAAAACACCTACATAAATGACAATCTCTGTCAGGTATGTTACAACTGGGCGTCCTTGACAGACCCATTACAACACATACGACGTCATTTTTCACAGGCCGACTCTCACACCCTACCTCTTCCACTTGCATTAGTTAACCAGCAGCAGTAATGGCTCCACCAGCTGTAGTTCGTTGTCGTAGGAACACAAATAATCCAAACTAAGTGTGACTGCATATGTACTTAAACTGTAGTAATGTGCACACCTACTTCACTATGTTCTTTGTTCTAGAGGGATTATAAGGGGACAAATTTTTATGAATCCTTCAGGGAGATCGAACACTGTTGGGAAACCCCACTTCTTACCTTTCCACAGGTTTTCTGGCATTAGCAGAAGCACGCTACAGCCAAGATTTGGCCTCAATTTTTATTGAGATTTAGAACACACTGTGACTTCTGAACAGTTACTTCCGTTCAGTCAGCTGGGGGGCAGCAAAGATGTACAAGGGGAGGGCAGTATTTTGACCATCATCTCAAATGATTCAGGTCAGTGTTAGCCTTATTCCACGCACAACTGATCACCAGAATTTTATTGCAGACATAATAAAACTGCCTAACCACTGTACCCATCAGGTGGCTGATGCAGAGTCTGCGCGAGAGAGGTTTGATCAAATCTTCTGACCGTGATAATTTCAATTTAGATTCTGCCCTCTGGTAACAAATTTCTCTGTTACCTTGGAAAGCCTAATTATTTCTTTATTAAGAGCTTATCTGAAACAAAACACCAGAACAGTGTTTATAAATTACTTTCCAGAGAATTTCTACAGAATCCTACTGGTCATAAAATGAAAGCTATTTCATACCATTGTTTCATACAGCGCAAAATTAATTTCTGGAAATGAATGTTGGGATTCTTCAAAAAGTGGATTCTTCAAAAACATGACAGTTTTGTGTCACTCATATTACCTGCACCTTGATAAACTGTGTGCATGTTGAATGCTCCCTAGTGTAAAGCGACCAGTTTTTCAAGTCATAAAGCCCCCTTTGTTAGGAGAGAAAAGAAGCAAAGACCACTGAGAAAAATAATAAACAAAGATGGTATTTCTGAAAGTCTTTTTGAGAAATGTAATTCTCTTTTTATTCTGAGATCACTTTAATATTGAAAGAATTATTTAAAAAAAAATTAGTACTTTAATTTTAAAAAATAATCTTTCATGGTAATTGCTAAATTGCAATTTTAAAACTGTGTATGGTTTGAGATAACTCTTTCTAATACAATTTCAGCACACATCCACCTTCTTTAAGCTAAAGTTGCCATTTATGATATGTCTATATAAGCTAGCATCACGAAGTTACACAGATGTTAAGTAGCTTACCCTTTTCTTTGTGTTCTGCTCTTTGGATGGTAACTGTTTACTCACTAATTTATTTATTTCCTTTATGATGCTCTTCACATCTATCCCATCCCTGGAAGCTTGAAGCGCAGCTTCATTGAAGGGAAAAATAAGGACAAAATCTCCTACCCGGGGGATAGGCCTCTGGTCTTTATCAGAGAGGAAATAGGGGTGCATGGTTAACTCGTAGCTGCAGAGGTCAGGTGTAGGTAACCAGTGGCTGAGTTGGGCTGACTTGTCTGGAGAATGCCCAGCTCCTGAGAGTTGTTTATTTTTAGCTTCAGCTTTTGCTTGGGAGTGTATTTTCATCATGTTCATCTTTTCCCGCAGCTGGGAAGTCAGTGTTTTCCTTGGATGTGCTCTGGCAGTTTTCTTGGTCAAGGTAGCCACCTTACGGACTGATCCTCTTGCAGCCTGCAGGGCAGGTTGTACAGAAGAAGTACATTTAGCCTCTTTTCGGCAAGCAAGTAAACCAGGAGTCTCCTCAGTGGTGCTCCCACCAGCTGCGCTCCAGGGCACCTGCCTTCTGCCAGCCTTTGTCCCAGCCACTTGGTTTTGCCTTAAAGTGTCAATCTGTTTGAAGTTCAGCAGTTCAACAATATCGTGAAGGAGTTTTCTTTTCACAGTGTCATCTGTGGAACAGTCTAAACACAAGGCTGGATTGTAGTTGACTTCTAAAAGCCACGGCTTGAATTTGTCATCAATTAGGATGTCAAAGCCAAAGAGCTCAAAGCAATTGGAAGCCACTGGTAAGGGGGTTACAGCAAGCAGGGTGAGAATCACTATGTTCTTGATCTTCTGCCAGAGAAGCATGTCATCAACCCCAAATATTCGAAGGTAAGAACGAAATTTGCTGAATGTCCATTTGCAGCCACAGCCAATCCCTTCTTTATATTTTTTATATGAAGCTCCGTATTTGTTGATGCTGGTGTTTGTTAGGTGGGCATAGACATTGTCCAGAGAACCAAGGTCAAACTTTTCAGTGGCAAACCTCACCAGTCCTTCTTCGTAAGTGTAAATGGTGAGGGGGTAAAAACTGGTGACACACACATAGAGGCGCAGATCCAGTTTATACCCTGAAATGAGCAAGGGGTTGCTAATGTACTTCTGCACAATGACTGTACAGTCATATACTAAGTCTTTAATGTCCTGGAAAATGAGTATACCCCTTCCACGGGAAAGATCCGCAGGCTTGCAAATCCAGTAGCTAGGTCTTCTGCCTACTGACTGTCTCTCATTGCTGTATTCTGCTATAAATTTGGCATAATCATTGGGCATGATGAATGCCACTGGACTAAATTCATACAGA